CCAGACGGATTCCGGCACAATGGGAAACTGCAGTAGACAGAGAGAAAACGAGCCGCAGTTTGCACTAATAGGCGGCTATGATAGGCCGGACAACGAGGCGTGCGTTGCAGCATGTTTGCGAAATCTGCTAGAGTCTCGCTTGCGAGCAATTGATCGATGCGTTCAAGCTTCCGCCTTCCTCCGATCCGCAGGCGGAGTTTCCCAGGAAATGCAACTCAAAAGCACCCAGAATGTGTCGTGGATATCGCTCCATTCCGGGAACTCCGCGGAGATCGCGACTCTGACCTTTAGAGCTCTTTTCCAACCGCCTCACTGGTCAGCAAATGGCAAGATGAAAGGACGGTCGTAGAGCCTGAATGCCGACCGCACGGTCCGAGCCCCTCACCAGACTGATAAGAGCTGACAAATTTCCCTGGGACTCCGAGCGTATCTCCTTCCAAATCCACGAGAGGGACGCCAACCCACCGCTCATCAGTCAAGTACTGATATTTATCGGAATGACTCATGTCCCGCCTTCTCTTCGCCATTCTCCCTCGATAAGGACGTTTTAGAATTTTCGGCGTCGAGGGCGGGGACCCCTGTGCGCCTCTGCTGTCGCGACAGAGATGTCGATGCACGGCGAACACCTCGTTGGAGACTAGAAAGCACGGCTGAGGTTGACAGCGAGGTTAGGATTGACGGATGCATTTTGAAGTCTCCAGAAGTGAAAACTTTAGCGTCGTCGTTTTGGTCGGGACCCGATGAGGCCCAATTCAAGCGAAGTTGCTCGAGCTTTGTTCTCTCCCATGGAACTTGGGAAGACGACTTCCCGCCTGGTAATGAAACATTGTCGCTGTCCGTGTGAGAGTTGTGCGCTAGATAAGCGAATATGCTCGTCGAGAAGCGCAGAGGGAATAGAAAATTTACAATTCTGATTTTTTCCGTCTGTCCCCGATGTAGCAGAGACTTTATCGCGAGTCTGTGTCGTGTGGACTCAGTTCTGCCGAGCGACAATCGTTGAGGTCTCTTTCATTCTGGGGTATCTAGAATGGAGTCTCGAGACTTGTGTACTCCTCAGCGGAGCCTTCGGGATTCTTCGGAGCATACGCGTCTGTCCACTCATTCCGACTGATGAACGGATCTGAGGCAGACCGCGTCCTGCCCCGAAGTATTCATCCGTGCCAATGGGGATTTGGGTAAGTTCGGTAGCACGAGCCCGTGACGATGTCATGGACACGGATTTACCCCTTGCAGATTTCCCTGTCACTAGTCCCGTAGCGGAACTTGGCGCGGTCACTCGGTCTTCCTTGCTCATCGGGCCCCCGCGCAACTTATTCTGCGAACCTCAGTCCTCAGAAATAATGTTTCGATTCCTACCACGGGATCTCGCGATTGTTCCCCTCGGTCTCGAGCGAGACCGCTTTTCTGAAATCTCTCCGGATCTGACGAGCCCTGGCGAAACATGAAGGGCTCAATATGATGCCATTCCACTGCATGCATAGAGGTCCTTATTTCATGGACTATGATGTCTATTATTCAATGCGTATCTCCCTGGAGTCACTCCTTTTCCTCAACTCTTGACGATCATCGGAGCGCGAAAAACTGCTGGAATTCGCTCGGTAGTTACGACACCGGCTATCACGGCTTCCTTCGATAGATCTTGTATGCAGATCTTCCTTTTCGGTCGCTTCCTTCGAAAATTATTATTTTTCGATCCCCGACGAGCTCGATATTGCGGCTCTCATCACCGTAGTATCTCTCGAAGGATGTCGAGGGTACGCGGATGAGCTCTGTAGACCGACATGTACTGAGAATGACTGATGCTGTCCCCCCTCGTCCGGTGGGTCTTGAACTCTGTGGGTCTCACCATCGACCACAGTACCTATTCATCTCTCCCAACTCATTTTGAATCCCGCTCAAATCTCCACTCGTTCGGTGTGATACAATGTGATCGGTGATCTCCTCCAATGGTGCCCGGGATCGAACACGGGGCTATCTGAGGCTCTTTCAATCGAGGGATGCATCAGGTTCTGATCGGGGCCCCGATTTCAATCGCCTGGCTTGGATTCACAAGTGAGCTTTCGGGATCTCTCCCATGCCGTAGCCGGAGCGAGAGACGATTGACAATGTTTCCGGCCAGCTGTTATCGGCTCTGATAAGATAGCCTCAGTAGCTGTTCTCTTGAAGAAGGAGTCTATGAATGAAGGAGTCATAAATGATTTCGCACCGCTCCACGACAAAAAGGCTCTGTGGCCGATTCGAATAATTTTATGGAAACCTGACCGTGGACAGGCCTTAAACCGCAGAGCTTTGATCCGAACTTGATCTAGCAACCGGCGCGGCGAATCGCAGTTTCTCATCTATTCTCTCGCGATCGATTTTTAGAAAAAAAAACTGGGAAATTCAGAGATCATCTTATCACCCGGGATTGGTCGAGGAGATGTGGTAAATCATACGGTTTCCGCTCTCCAGGAAGCCAACCTTTCATGTCTGCCGGTTCTGTAGCGCATAAGCCTCGTTGCGGCGTCGGAAGGAAGTTCCTGACGCAACTGAGTGGTCCCATCGCCGCATCATTCTACTAATCCGTTTCGAGGGTTCTGTGAAGCTGTGCAACAGAAGCTCTGCTGTATCTGTTGCGCCGCCCTAGATTTCGAAATCCAGGGTCCTCTAGTGGTCCCGATTCCGAGTCCCGATTCCTCTCCTCTTCTACTCCGTCCGTGTAAGTAAATCCGGGACGGAACAATATCGCTCCTTCTCATGATTTGTAAGAGTCGGTCATGTCCCAGGTATTGCTGAATGCTGGATCACGGTCCGGTGAATTCCTCTCTCAAGAGGTTCGTAAATACGTCAATATACTCATATTCGTGAGTACGTCTAAAACCTCAGCCTTGTGAGCACGTTTATAGAATCGGGAGTATGCTTTGGGCAGGTCACTTCCGCTTCGCCTCATGATATGTTCAGACGGCTCATAACCCAGTGCTTGCAACAGCACGGAACGATGATTCCTCTTCTATGGGTCATAAATACTCGAACATATCCATTTTCGTGAGTGTGTTGGAGGAGAAAAAATCTCCTTTCGTCTAATGACTCGGAGCGCGTTTTACCCACGTGCTCACCACGACGCTCGGAGATTGTTCTCCACGCTGACTCGCTTATATATTGGCGTTGCGATCTCTCGTGGCCATCTAATCACTCAGATCATCACAAAAATTATTATATTGATTGAGCTGATTAGTCGAGGGGGGACTCATTTGACTTCTGAAGCGCTGTCAAGAGCTAGGCGATCGGATACATCGTAGCGCTGCAGTAATGCATTGAGGTAAAAGTTTCGTTCTCAGGGATGGGGTTGGGTCAACCGATTGCGGCTTAGAATCCCACGACCAGAGCTGTGCGTCGCGTCACGAATTCGCCGGCGATCGCCGCCGCCGACCTCTGGAGTCCGGGGAAAAAACTGGAAACTCGGTTCGAGTCACTTAGCTCGCTTGAGAGTGCGGGGACATAGCATACGAATGAGACAGGACGTTCCGGACCGAGCTCCATCGAGTATCTACCAGTTGTGGAACGCGTGAAAGACTTGTGAGTTACTGTCTCTGTGGACCTCGACTTCTCCCCACACGTCACATCTATCTGCTCATCGGCTCGTCAACTGATCAACACCCTCTTCCGATGTTGCATCGTCCATAACCCCGCTGTCAACATCCGTTTGTTCAAATCTATCATTCTTTCACGTCTCCTATATCGCATTCCGGTGTAGCGTCCTTTCCTAGTTCAACGTATCAAACTTTTGAGAGGTGTCCTGAGTTAATTTTCGAGACGCCTGAGACTCAGATGTCGACTTGATCAACCCGCCCGAGATCTCGATCTCGATGCTTTTATCGATCGCTGAGACATCCGTGCCTTCCGCTCTTGCATACGTACGGGAACCTACGGACACTTTGCAAATATCTCCCGTGTTAATCTTCGCAAGAATTTTTCTATCAGACAAAAGATGCTGGCTAAGTGCCAAAGAGTTGGCAATTGTTCCGCTTGGAGACTCTGCGAAAACTTTCGGGGAAAAGGTATCCCCGATACACTACTGTTCCTTCTAAATAAAGCGCTGGTGAATTGAATTGAACTGAAGTTTCGCAGCTCTGCGACATCCAAGCAGCAGAAAACTCAAGACGAAAGGTGACGCGTAATCTCACTAAGTAAGACGGCTGCCGATAAGAAATCCGAAATCGACAATTACTTCTCTTCGACCGCCTCTCCGTGAACGATTCCATTTAGAGGTTTCCATGCGGGAAAACACGATTTTATCGGACAAAATCCGTGAGGGAACTCGCAACCCGGTCGATTTTATTCGATAATTACGCCCAACGAGCCACATGAGAGAAGACTTATGAATTTCGCTGCCCGGACATTCTTCCTTGCATAGGATACGCAGTTTAGTAAACCGCTTGAACGGTCCAACTCGAAGTCTCCCTCGCGTCTAGAATTTGGTCCCGAAACACAGACTTATCTAGAGCCGAGCTCGAATTAATTGGTTGGAGAGCTCCTGAATATATCAGGGCCGAATGATCACGGGACGTCTCAGGCTCTGATTCCAGAATGAGCAAGCCGATCGATCGCAATATGAGAGAACTCCCATCTCCTACTATTTGATAGAAAACTTTACGCATTGCAATAATTCCCGGTATTCCTCCTGGGGATCGTTGGGGCGTCCTGCAATGTCTCCTCGATTTGCTGTCGCGGAATCAAAGCGGATACGTACTGCCGGCCCAGATTGTATGGGACAGACAATAATTCCAATTACGAGCGAAATTGAGGCGAAAAACGCTGGGTTCGAGCATTCGTCGAGGATGAAAGGAATCCCACTCGAGAAATACAGGTACGCGGGAATCATGGCATCTCCAACGTAAGCGAACTCGAAACGTTGATCCACAGGAGAAAAGTAATGGGGTCTGGAGTCGCTCGATCTCGGAGCACGTTCGCAGAATGAGTCTGTCAAGCCAAGTTTTGCAGTGTCGGGCTATTTTCGCGGAATGTCCGTAACGCCCGGCGTGCTTTCCGCTTCCCTCACCGAGGCAAACCGAATCTTTTCGGGCCCCGCGAATCTGAATGTGAGACACGTGCTACGCGAGTCCATTGTTGGGAGAGACGAAGTGACGGTGTCACGGAGCAGAACTGTTCTTTTTCTAATACTAAAAACTATTGTTCTCCCATTTCAGTTCCGGAGCATGCAAGAAGTGGACTTCCTATGCTTCGAAAGGCGAAGCAACTGCTCAAGTATTATCATAAGGGAAGACATGTTCCAAACGAAAACATCGAACGAAGACGCCAAAGTCCTCCTGGATGAAAACGATTCGGATGTTCTATTTTCGCCGTCGATGAGCCTCTGTCTGCTTGTGGCGTATACGTTCGTGTTTTGTTGCTGCTTTTTCGGTAAGAACCCACAATATTATGCTACTCGATCGTACGGACAGCCGTATGCAAGCTGACAGGGAGCTAGGCGGGATCGTCTACCCTGTCGTACGAAGATAGCGGAGCGACGCTTCGATTTTCTTTCGCTAGTTCTGCAACTCGAACGACTTATTGAGTGAAGTATTCCAAAGCCCTCTAGTTCGAAACCATCAGTCATAATGGACTCATGAGATTGCGAGGTCTGACGCTTCGGAGCTCGATGCCTTGCGCCGTTCCCCGTACCCTCGAATGTTTCGCAACGAAGACAGATGAGACGGGGTTTTCATTTTTCGGTTATGGGGGCCGATGATGTGTGAATGGGGCGCTTCGCAACAAAAGTGATTTTTCTTTAAATTGAAATCCACCGGGAGCCGTTATCTCGCATCGAGCGACGATGCTCGTCGAACGGTATCTCCTGCTCTTAATTATCCTTTCTAGCTCCGCGCCCGTAGCTCGGTGATGACGTGATAAGGCTTTAGCTTCCAAAGCAGAATACTAGTCGGTCTACTCTGTCGATCTCTGTCGAAGTATCTTTCAGAACGAGATCTATTTCCTGAACCTCCCATTCGAACAGTCGCCAGGATCAACCTTTCAGGTTCCTCGAGTTAAATCGAGCGTGAGCCCGCTACGGCCGCAATGGTGGAAAAATCCTCCGTAGATGAATTTCTCGCCGGGACGAAAGATCTTGCGTTCGTATCGGCTGCGGCAAACATGCCACCGCTAGGGCCAGACTGCTGATTCGCAGCCGATTCGGTTGCGCAACGGGTAAATAAACAAAAGTCGATCCCGCTCGGACACTTGCGAGCACTGACGTGACCGGAATAACAGACGGACCGATCGAGGGATTAAATTACGGGGAACTCGACGTCAGCTAACCCGATGCGATCCTCGTTCGAATATTGTATGTAGGCATGCAGTGTGTACGGTTGAAGCAGAATAATCTCCCGAGGAACAAATTATGCCATGGCACATACTTAGGGCCGTCGGAGATTTCTCTCTAAGAAGATTGAAAGCACTCGCTTCGTCTTGCAGTCATCTCACTCTCTCGACGTGACTCCTAGTGCAGCATGAAGAACCCCGCTCTGTCGAAAGTCTGAGATTAAAAGAATTTTATTTTGTGCCGAAGGTTCGGTGTTCGTTTTCGAAAGTCCGACTTTGGCACGAAGCCAACCGCTATAGAATTCAAAATATCTTTTCTCGATTAACTGCCAAGTATTTAGAAAAGCAAACTTTTTCCCCTTTCTTTTCTGCTATTCAATTCCTTTGTCAGCGTCTCACGCCAGTCCGCTCGAGCAGAAGAGCTATACGTTTCGAGGCGGTTTCTATATTGGAAAAGTCTCACTTTGAAACTTCCAGTCTGAACGGCGAGGAAACTGTAGGTCGGTCCCGATTGCCCCACGTCTCACCGTACGGCTCTCTGATCAAAAGTTCCGCTGCTCCACCGGTGAATCATTTGGGTTAGCTAGTCGGACGAACTTTCCGACTCGGAGCTCGCCTCCTGTCAGCGGAATATTCGAGCGACCGACGTCAGTACATCAGATCAGAAGGCGACACCGCTGTTCTGAATTTCAGCAGCCGGCGTCGTGGTCTGCAAGCGAGCGCACCGGCTAATCATTGCATTCCTGAGCAGGCCGGTAGTGTCGTTCGCCGGTACTAAATTAGAGGGATCGGCTGTTTCAATTCCAAAACAGAGTTTCGTGAATACTTGTTTTGGCTCGGCGGGTCGTATCGACTTTTTGCGATTTTCCCCAGACGACGTATATGCGAGATGTTCTTTCCCCAATGTCGTAAAACGAGGAGCTGTCGTTCGCCTCCGCGCGGGAAGAATTCCGCTGACGGGTGAACGAGTTGGTCAGTGCGTCGTCGCAGACGGGAGAGAAACAGGAGGGCATTTGCCCGCGCCTGAGATCTCGACCGTTCGCCGCAAAACACAGTGCGTTCGCAAGGGACTGGGTCATCAAGAAGAGCATTGCTGACCGCGGGGCCACCCATAAAACTGGTCATCAAATTCCGGAAACATGTCTCCTGGGTAGCCTCTCCTGTCGCAAGCTCTTGCAACATGATCCGTTGATCATTTATCTTCCACACTGCTGCTATTCTCAGCTTTACTATTTGTACAGGTCCAGCGTCGGCTAGATTGGCCATGCCCTAGCCCCTGAACCCTTACATTCTTCGCTCCAATGATTCGGAGCCTGCGTTCGTTCGCTCGTCTCGGAATGCTTTCAAACCGTGAGCAATTCGACGACTGTAAAAGGAGCATAATGTGACCTCGAAAGAGCAGACCTTTCTTACCGAAAGAGACTCACTCAGTCGGTGCTCACCGCGCGTAACACTGAGACGGCCAGCCCTCGTCCGTCTGCCGAGCACTTTCCCGTTGCCACATCCCGGTGTTGAAAGCTGTGGATTCCCGTATCGGACTCATGGAAACAAAAACAAAAAACATTGAAAGACTGAATATTGGACTGTCCTACCGGGGCGTACGCCTTAGGTATCGAACGCATAACACAGAGTATTCTCCACGGGAATCGGTGTGGATCGAGAAAAGTTCCGCTCTCGAGACGATTTCTGTTCAAGTGAGCTGTCAGGCTTCGTTAACATCAAACCCCAGCGACTGGGACAGAAGGCTTATTCATAAGGACGAACTCATGACTTTTGTCGCTCTGTACGCATGACGATGTTTCGCACGTCAGGCGTACCGGCTCGCCTCTCGTCGAGGAAGTTGGCCTACCCGGGCCTGACCGAAGCTGTGTCGGAACGGAAGCTGTGCAAGCAGTGACCTAACGACCCTTACTGGAAAAAAATGAACAAACTTTTGTTCTTGCCTCGCAATCAACGTGTGGCTTGCCGAGGGCGGGCGAATCTCGCGGATGCGTTTGCGATCGTAGTCGGATTTATGCTCGCGGATATCATCATAAAGTTCACGCATTGATCGGCTTTCTGGTCACGCTAACAATAATCAGCCGAAGTGTATTATGCTCGCCATGCCGATGGGCCGAGCTCGATCAAACAAAGAACCAAGAGGTCCGACGAGCAGCGATTGAATACAGTGTCCCCCGCAACAAATCCTTCGGATGTTCGCCAGAGGACTTTTGTTGAAGGCAAAGCGGAACTTCTCTCAGGATCCGCGGACGAAGTTCGGCGATCCGCGATTTGTCCCGACGAGATTCCATGCGGGACATTTCTCGAATACTTTGTCTGCAGACCGAGCACTCCGTGGACGTTCGGGAAGGCGAATGGATACAACGTGGCGCTGCGGGGCATTCTCGCCTTTGTCGTCTCTGGAGGCTGGACACAATGTATGTATAGTATAACAATGTCTGGGGATCGACCTATTTCCAACAAAGGCTGTCGTCTTATCATCGTACGTGTCCTGAAAAGTCGTTGAACATCTGACTCTATCTCTGGTTCCCGACTCACGGCTATTGATGCCGTCAGCCTGCGTCATCATCATTGAGCCGCTGGCCTCCGGTGCGCGTTGCCTTTATTGATCTTCGGCCAAGGTGAAATAGAGCTACGATTCCCGGATACATTGTATGCTAAGATCACATCTCCCAACACTATCGAATATTCTCGCCACTCGGGAGAACCTGAGTTGTTTGAGTGTCTCCCTTTGCCCTGATACGCGACCTGCCGTCCGGGTTGCGAGAACGTTATCGTTCCCTGACGTCGCTAGTTTGACACGGTATTTTACTTTCTGCGATCGCTCTCAGTCTTTCGAAGACTCCTTCTTTGGTAGCGGCTCGACAGCGGGACACGAGCCCTTGATTGATCCAGGAAGATTGATGCAGGAAAGGCACAGGAACTTCGAGAGGAGATGAATACGACATTAATGGATGGAGATCGAGGGAAAACAAAATTTCGCAAGACCCACCGAGCGGTTGACAAATTTCGGCAGATGAAACGAGGCGTCAGGGGCCTCGTACCGTAGCGATGTTGAAAGAGAGAAAAACATCCAGTGATAAATTATCCGAGGAAACCAATCGGAAGAAATCGCTGGTGGGAGAGGGCAGGGGGAGGGAGAATGAAGGAGGGGGTCCTCCTTCCCCATCGGATGGTCTGTTACGATTTGAGAATCGATTGATCGATCTCCTGGTTTCAAGCTCGGTCGAGCCAGGAAGTAGGTGGAGAACTCACCCGCATCTCTCAGAGAACCTTTGAGGTCTAGACAAGCGTTCCGAAAGCTTTTTCTCGACTTGGGGATTCGGCTCATGGAGGCGAACAAGAACTCGCTTAACCAGGAAGACAAACATCAGAACGAGAGAAAAAGAGCACACAAAGTCTCAGACGAGGAGGCCACTTCGTCTGCGGAATATAAGATCAACGATCAATGCGGAGATCATCAACTTTTAGTCTAGTCGCCGACGTCCTCGAAGACCGTCATCGACGCACCGGAGTCACCAGTGACACGGTGTTGAAGTCTGGCGTTCGTCCTATTCAGCAACTTATTCCTGTCAGTGACACGGCCGGGTAGTTCCACCAGACGAGTCGGGCCCGCATTTCTTGTGTTATCGGCCTCATCCTCCGCAACTCTCAATCAGCAGACAGAGAATTATTCTCATTTGGGTCTGTATTGACCGATGCATCTTTCGTCGGGCCACGCCAAGTACAACTGTCAAGCGTGTCGCGCGGTCTGAGTGATATGTCCGCGGTCAGGCCTAAGGAGTTCACTTGAGTTGAGGAGTTCGGCGAACATATCTAGAAGTTTCAGCGTTCGGAACTTGTGATGTATGTGCTCGTGGCAGAGCGAACTCTCTTAGCGTGACGCGAGCTCGACGCAACGCTGAACACAATCTCTTCCCGAAATATGCACCTCGGAGAAGATTGCCGTGCGGAGGCAATCATAGCCAGATCCTCTGGATCCCGCCGCTAGGCAGGTCTGCTTTTTGGATCCGGTACAACCTCAGGCATAAAACGTTTCGAGCGTTCCGCAGCGGGGATCGAGTGGAGAGAGCCCCTCGCTTTCCGAGACCGCCAGTCGGATC